CCCAACGAGGGCCGTAAGTAGGGTACGGGCGTGGTGATTCCTCTTCAGTCCGGCTGACGTACGTGCACTTGTGCGACGTTGCTTCTCAGTTAGTCTGGCCAAATACGCCTCGTCCAGTTTCGCTTTAATATTCTTCAGTTTGCTCTTCTTCCATGACAGCTTTCTGATCTTTAGTGGTCTTGGGCCGCTCCTTGGTTCTACTGCGTTGTCTTCGCAGCTTTCCTCCGACGAGATATAGTGTAACGCGTCTGGGGAAGACAGAATTTCTCGTGCCCTTCTTTTGTCTCCTTCAGACAGCACTGTCGAGGTGTTCAGACAAGACAGTCGTCGAGAAAGTTTCTAAAGGAAATAATTGATCAGGACACGTGAGAATCTTGTCAGAGCACTAAACAGAGATGTTTAATCGTTGCTAAAGTTGCCATAACTACCATTCCAGTTACATGATTTTAAGGAAAAGCTCAATTTGAGGCTAAGCTAACGCTTGAAATAGCTAGAAAAAAGACTCGAAAATCAGCTACCTCAAGCTCGAGAAGAAAACTGCATTGACATTATAGCAGTTGAACATCAGCGGAGGATGTTATGAAGCAATTTAACACACACGAATGTTTGATACCAAGAGATAACAGTAATGTTATCAATCATATTTGCTCTTGTTGTTACGGATTTAAGTAACCCGTCCTGAAACATCAAAGACAAAATAGCTTTCAAACTGGCCTCATACAATTGATGTACAATACTTGCCCTCTTTAAACGATTGCTTCGGTTGATTTGTCTTTGGTGCTTCTGAAAGCTTGTTTTTTGTTTTCCTTGTTTTATCGTCCCTTATGCATCTCCAATGCTGATGAACAGCAGCTAATTCAAAATGAATAGAGTATGTTAATTGACGAGGAATGCTGTCGGTACGAATTGGTAGAAATCACTTTTTGTATATTGTGACGCTAATTTGACCTTAGCCTACGAGCAGTCTCTCTAAGTAAAGTTAGTGAGGATAAACAAGAAAGTAAGTAAAAGTGCTAGCAGAGCCTCTGAAAGAAGAGCCTCTTCTTCCGGTGCCCGCACTTCGCATAGCTCGCAGCTTTGCCCCTCGTGTAACGCACGCTTTTAATATTTTCACCTTCTTTGCCCCTAATGTCAGAGCAGAAAGACTGCCCGCAGTCTAATTTGACCTACTTGAGAGGCTCGATTGCCTGTACATAGCATCTGCAGAAAGGCTCTGATAGAACAAAAATGATAGAAATTCTATGGTCAGCTGAGGTCTTATTGGAGGAGGTTCCACTGCTCTTGTAAAAAAATAGGAGAGAGGCTTACCTTTTATGGCTGATTCATCCACTTTTTCTTGTCGTTAACTGCCCGCACTACAGTTAAGAGTTTCTTGGCCATGGCTTGATTTGATGAATTGTCCAAACTACACATACAATAGGGATAAAGGACAAGATTAAGAATAGAGAAACGATTGCAAGCGAGAGAAACTTTGAAATGACTGTCAAAAACATGCGCAGACCGCGATGAAACAATCATTAACACCCGCATGTAACTAGACGAGGGAAATTAATTAACCAGGTGAGAGAATAAGGGAAAAAAAAGAAAAATAGATTTTGAGCAGTTAACTAATTGTCCCAAGGCAGACTAGGGTCCAGAGCCATTTCTTAAAAACCCTAATTATAACCAGATCTTAAATATATTTCATATATGTATTGCTAGAGTTCCATTGAGTCAAAGTATGAAGTTAACTTTGAAATCACTATAATTTGCGTTTTACCTGACACTAAAATCAAACGTTGACTGGTTCTCCCCATCCTCCTGTTGTTCATGTTCCTTTGCGAGTTCTTTGTAGACTTTCCTCACAGCGTTCTTTTTCAAAGATTGAATAATCAAAGGCTCCCTGAACCAGCTCATGGATGAATAGGCCAATTCCAAGTTGACTTTTGCCTCTGCAACAGAACGAGTGTTTGTGCGAAATTATTCATATAAAAATGTATGTCACCTGTACGTTCATTCTCGTGAAAATCAAGTCATTTTTATGTGAAACGTTTTGCACGAGCACTCGTTCTGAAAAAGAGACAAGTGGCAACTCGGAAGTGGACGTAAAGTCAGCGTATGAGCCAAGTGGCCCATCAGGCCAGCGATTATCCCAGTTTCTGAAGCATGAAGCGACAAGGAATATTTCTATAAACCTCTGGATGGGATGCTTAGTAGTCCATCGCAGGGTTGCCCTCCAACACGAAATTTTACCAGTACCTATTTAT